GTAAGTCAGGTCTCAATAGTCCCGGAACCGGCAGCGCAGAGGTCAAGGAACGACTGGTTATTTGCAGACCTAAGGAACAACGACTTGTGCCCATACTTCCGAAATTCATAGCATCTATGTATTTAACAATCGTTCACGTTCTAAGCGCTGTCACGGCACGAGCTTCCTGTAGAGTAAGTTTCCAAGATATTCCTGACCCGTTATAAAATTCATCTACATCCTCTTCCTGTCGGGATATTAGTATCGTTCTTAACAGTAAAGGATGAGATGCTAACGTTGTCCAAATTAAGCAAAGTCGACATTTGTTGAAGACGAACAAACTTCTCCCTCCCATCGCCAAAGGCTGTTTGCGCTGCTAAATATCCTATAATGGCACGCAAATCGCGGTCAAAGCGTATGGCACCAAGCTAGCAAAAAGAAACGATCAGGTAGGTAAGAAAACATGACATTCAATTTACCTCTGTAAACTTGAAAGTCATCACAAACTTCTCCAAGGGACGCAATAACGTATCCAAAATCAACCCAAACAAGAGTCGGAAATTGCCATCCGTGAAAGCGTCCTGGTGTTCAGCTTTAACCCATTGTCTGGCGACTGACTAATACGGAGGACTTACCTTGTACTCTTCTATTAATCCTTCCCAGATTTTGATAAATCGTTTGCGCACCAAGTCTTGATATTCAGCATTGGCATAGGAGTCATCATCGAGGACGTAGGAAACATCTTTGTACACTTCGGTGATGAATGTTCGCATTCGAGGACGTATAAGCTGGCTGAAGAGCTGTTCGATACCAACCTGTAGGTAGATATCAATAAGATTGAGTGAATTCTGTTGTAGATGGCTAGAAAAATCGCTTACTCGGAGAGTCGATCGGAACTTGTTGACTAGTATCGACAACGAAGATAAATGGGTTTTTACCACAGATTGTTCTGAGGACACAAAGTATTGGTGTATGGAACCACTGTTTCCTAATTCCTTGACGAGTCGTTCAAGGTGGGATGACGAAACATCGAGGTCATTCAAGATGGTCTATTCACAATTTCACAAATCAGAGACCGATGGCAAAGAAAGAAAGAATAAACGAGAAAAAAAAAAACACTGCTCACTGCGAACGCGATTCTGTTGTCTTTCTCTGTCTTCTCTCTGGATAATTGACTGGTATTTCCAGCGTTTCGATATACATCATCGAGTTTCCTCTTCAGTACACCTGAGTAATCCTGCTCCAAGACTTCACGCAAACGATCGACCAGGCGGTCCACAGTGGCAATTGACCCGGTGGATATCAGCCGAAGGAGGACAACTTTAAGGATATAAAAGACATCGTCGGGAGTCGTAGTCGTAACAGCAGCTTGAGTAGTATCAACCTTTGATAGTTGATGTGCCTGTTATGGTTGAGTGAATCGGAAGAGACTTTATTGAGTGCAGAGTGAGTACCTTGTCTATAATGACACGAACATACCACACTTCGAGTGGAGTGTAGTATTTCGCTAAGAGGTCCTCGAATACCTTCTGAGATGCAGTAGAATTGAACAAGAGTCCTTCCTGTGGAGGCATGGACGGTGTCGAGTCATTCTCCTTTGATTTTGTAATATCCTCTCCATCCTCGGGTGCATTCTTTAACGAATAATCAGCAACCAAAACGATAGAAGGAGAAAGACGTTTACCTGAAGACTATCGAGGAGGAAGTTTTTGAACAGACTCCACCTCCCTGACATGCCGGCCATTTCGATGAGTAATTGATCGATGTCTCGGGGATCTATGGAGTCGTCGTCGGGAGTCGTTCCGGGATTTTGTTTGCGACCCGCGGCTAAGGTCATAGAGGGTATCGGAGAGCTAAGCACCTCGGAAAGCTTTTAAACATGCTAAGAAAACAACAATTTTGTAGGAAAAAAAGCGGAAGGTTACCTTTCTCGAGATTGATCTTTCCTCTTGCCACCTTTCAAATATGTCTTCTACAACCCGGTCACATTCCTCGAGCAGATGCTGGACAACAGGTTTCATTTTGCCAGAGCCGTAATACTTTTCTACTACAGGCTGATGTTGATCCACTATCATAGCAATAGTCTCGAACAGAGATGTAAGAGCAGTGATGTAGTACGCAGGTGATGATGCTTGGGCAAGAGTTAGTAAATGCAATAAAGTCTCGAGCACGAACATACTCTTGATAGCTACGGGTGATCTGACTTTTACAAGATCAACGACAAATGACGCATAAAGCTCAAGACCTTCTTTCTCCCATCCTATTGCAGGAAAGAGTTTAAAAAAGCGACTGGTCGCGGTAGAATCACGGGAGCGAGACGCTTGTTCGAAATTTGTGCGGAATACTTGCAGAAGATGTTCACGAGCAGACTGAAGCGTTTGTGCAGGAGGGAGGGGACTTTCTGAGGTAGGCTGTCCTGCTATAATGAGGACGATATTGCTGAACACTAGTCTTTATGACTCACGACAGCAGCTTGTGCAAACGGCCCTGCTATGACATTAATGGGAAGTGCCATTGCCCGTGCACAATGACGCGTTGCCGACTCCCAGTCCTGCGACTCCATAGAGGATTGAAGGGCAGCCAGAGAAGACTGCCGTAGAATAAGCACGTCAAAACATGTAGACACGGGGTCCAACTTACTTTGAGTTCGGTGACCTGAGTTACACGGTCTGAAGCTTCTCTGATTCGACGCATCTCTTCGTCTAGCGATTGTACGCGACCTCCAACGCGCTCTGCCGTCTTTGCTGTTGGTGCGACCTTGAGGGAAAGAGCATTGGCTTGTGCGGATAGCTCATCGAGTTGCGGTAGAAGCCCCTGGAGACGGTTCAAAGACGAGAGAATTGGGTCCCTGGCAGACAGAAGATTCGACAGAGACGCAGATATGTCTGCCTCTTCCGACTGATATGCAGCAAGAGAAGAGAGGACTTGTGGCAAAGAAGTAAGAGCGCGGGGGTCCTGCATTTTGGTGGAGAACACCCGGACGTGTGAAGAAGTACCGCATATTTGATAATTCTATATTTACATTTCTGTTCATGCCCACCAACGACCTCTTTTCGCGGCGCAATAAGCGTTTTTTAATCCCTGCCTTTATCCTGTTCTTCATAGCTTGTCTCTACTTTCTTAAAGAATTCTCGTCGCCTTCGTTCCTTCCCGACGGACACTATGAACACCGTCCAAAGCCTCCCTTCCTGGATGATGACGTTATTGCAACAAAAACAGTCACTGCTTCGCCCGTCATAGAGACAGAAACAATAGTTGCAGTACCTACGGTTGAACCTGTTGTGTTTTTCCTGATAATGTGGTCACTGAACTCTGCAGTTGAAGGAGCTCTCTTAATGAAAGTATGTCAATGCAACCGCATCCCTGCAAGTCTGGCGCATTCTCACCGACAGTATAGTCTATCTTAATGTACACGTCAAGTCCCATAGATTTCCATATTATCTGTGACTCGGACGCTCGACTTCATGTCGAAAGTCGTCTCTCGCTCGTCACAAACCCTCGATACCAGGTCACTGTGAAGTTCTATGAGCCCTCGTACCAGGCTATGCAGGACAGAATAGACCGTGAAGGTACCATCAAATCAGATCATGCTTCGGGACTCCGTAGGTTTTGTCAAATCTTTTCCGTCATTTGTCCAAAGTTCAACCAATCGTCATAAAATTATTTAGCTGGTCTCATGAAACTTCTCATACACGAAATCCTCCCTCCGACAGTCAAGAAGGGCATCTACGTTGACACAGATGCCTTTTTCGTCTCTGACCCCACTCTCCTTTGGAACACTTTTGCTCATGTCAAAGATTCTACCGCTGTCGTTATTCCTAGCCACCCCGACCAGGAAGCGGAGATATGGAACCAGGCATCCCGTATATGCAGCTGCGTGATGCTTCTAGACCTTGAAAAACTCAGGGAACTCCGCCTGATAGACTCAACTATATACCGCAAAGATCCTGATCCTTCCCACCCACCTGCGCTGTCTCTCCCTGCCTTCAAAGCCATGTATGGTGTTCCGGAATCCGGTAAATACAACAACGTCCGTCTGGGTGATCAGGGATACTGGTGGGCTATCACAAGCTATAAGAAAGATATATGGGAACCGTTAAGTTTCGACTTTGAGGTGACCAGTTGCATTATGATGATGTACAACACCGGTTTAGGCGAAGATGATACCGATTTACAAGAGGAATACACGAAACACATCTATGTCCCGAATACTCCACAAGATGTAAGTTTTTTCTTATCTGTCCAAAAGTCTCTATTTCATGCCTTGTACTTGTGCAGGGTCACACCGTTCTCCCTAAATTACTCCATTTGTATGTTCGATTTTTCTTATCTTTCTCCGAGATATATGTTTATGGGATATTCGCAGCAACTGCCTGCATGGCACGGACATATATATGGAATGGGCAGGCTGGTCTGACCCTAACGATAAACTTAACCAAGCGTGGGGTTCTGCCGTCCATTACCATAATGGTTACAAGTGGATATGGCTAAACCAAGGAACAAAGCAAGGAATCGGCATTGCGGGTGCGTCCGCCCCCGACCATCCGTCTATCGTTTACCCTACCATCGACATGTCCATTGTAAAGGAAGTCGTTTTTGCAGACGAGCTTTATGCTCGCGAGCATGGAATTCACTTTTAACTTTCTGTAAAACACTTGCTAACCTTATACATAGAACATATACGTATCATACACAACTTGCATACCTTTAAGCTTCGAAAATACCCTCTTAATTTACCCCGCTGGCGGACTTCAATCTTTATATCGCTTCCTAAGTTCGTATACATACTTTGCTGCCTGAGTGTCTCAGTACGTCAAAAATGAGAAACGCTCCGCACGAGAAGACGACAAGTGGATATTCATACCGACATGTTGTGAGAGAACAAATGGTTTCGACAGCCAAAATCTGTTAGAACTTAGAACAGGTTTTACTTTTGGTGCCACAATATCGTCACGTGGCTACGGTCAAACAACTACCTTTACACTATGTAGTATGGTGTTACCTGTCAAAGTGGGAGGTTAGGTAGCGTGGCCGAGTTGGTCTAAGGCGCTGGATTTAAGTTCGTCTTGATTCCCAGTGAAGGTGACTTCGCGCGAGTTCGAATCTCGCCGCTACCATAAGTCTTCGTTTTATTTTGTCAATTTTCGTTCTTGCAGACGTCTACAATACCAAGTACGTACATGTCGATCCCGATTCTACAATGGAAAACCTCTGACGGCATGAATGTATGGAACAACGTAAATAACGATATATTAGTTTTAGATAAGTATTAATACATGCACCGTTCCCTGAACAGCCCCCTTTACATAGAACATTGAAATGGTATATAGAAATGCTGGGTATTGCTAACGACGAATAAACTGATACGAGATACATCAAACTACATGATGCCTGTGGAGCTGTATCAGCGCCGGACGTGCAATGCGCATTGCCCTGAGCTCGAATTCTTCAATACTCGCTGTGTGTGTGTCAAAACACAGGGAAGACATGATGAGATGGGCAGCCCGACAAAGCGTCATCAGTGGTCGGTGGAGTTGACGTAAGTGTCATGAAAAAGGTAAAAGAAATGTCCCGGAAAATGAATGCTTATGTCCCCGTCGAGAGGATGGCAGCAAGGTCTTTCTCACCAGCAGCTGGTAGCTGTCGAGAACGAGCCTTCAGACGCACTATGGAGAAAGCAGATAAATATAAGTTGATCTTTAATTGATGGAAGAACTCACAGTTGCGATCAAGGCTAAGTAACACAACCTTGATTGGGTTGGTGATGTTGCTTGAGACGCCATCTGACTTGAGCATCGCTGAACGGTCGATCCAGTGCTCGTCGTGCCATATTGCCGCTTTCAGAATAAGATCATCCATATTTCGCTCCGCATTTCCAGATGTAAAATCAACATCTTCGGTTCGTACATTGAGTGTTGTCAAGTAATTGCCTTTCGATGTTTGAACCTTGAGTGACATCGAATGAGAGCGGATATGAGACGAGATGTACGTGAGTGCATTCTCAGCTGCCTCGCCCAATTGAGAAGTGTTTGATTTGAGACCGTCAAGCTCCATGATGACAGGGAGCGGAACAAGGACTGTCCAGTGTATACTCTCGACCAAGGACGCGAACATGGACAAAGAACTGAGCAGGATATTTGTATCGATGACGAGAACGGTGTAGCCAGGTTGGATAGGGAGGAGAGAGCGACCGGTATTTTCCGACTTGGAGGAACGGGGTACTCGTCGAGAAGACGACGCAGATGATTTGCCAGCGGACTGAAGCAAGCTGCGTAGGTACTTGCGACGGGCCTGCGAAGGAAGGACAGGTTCGAATAAGCAACTTCTCTAGGAGGATGAAAGACAAACCTTGAGTTCTTTGATCTCTTCGCTATCGTTCTCGTCAAAGTCGTCACTTTCTTCAGACAACTCTTCATCGACGTCCTGATCGATATCCATTGAATCGTCAGACCAACGTGTTCCCATTCTCCTTCTCTCCTGTTCCTCTCGCTCCCGCCTTTCTTCCTCTCTCCACAGTTTCACCTTTTCCGATAGCACGCCATCAACCCTCCACTCTCTTGTGCCCTCAACCCAAGTCAATCCATCAACGACACCCGCAATTCCGACTGCGGACCGAATAATCCTTACCCAGCGTTTCCTAGTCTTACTCATGTTGCCAGAGTTACTCTTCTCGTCCTCATCATCATCATCTTCGATTTGACCATCAGTCATCTCTCCTGCTTCGGTATCATCAAGGACTTCGATCTCCGCCTTTCGATCTTTACCTGATTTCCAATAACCACGTTCGAAGACCATTCTGCCAACCCACTCCATACCTCTCATACACCAATCCTCCGGAAGAGGCGGAGCACAGCCACTGGTCAATCTGGGCTCTTTCCAACGCTCGCCATCAGAAAGAACCGACGTCAAAGGAGACAATCCCTGGGACGTCATGATATTCCTGGGAACGGTGGCAAAGAAGGATACCATGTCTTCCCATGGTATACTTCTTTCGAGCAATTCCGACGTTTTCTTGTGTTTCAACGCATTTGAGAGGAAGGTGAGGAGGATGGTGAGATAGGGGTTAAGTTTTGAACGAGCAAATTGAGACGCTTTCCGAGTCGGTCGGCGAAGGACGTGTGAAAGCATTGTAAAAGTCAGCTGGAGAGCTAGTTTGAATGGCATCGGAAGCTCAGAAGGGTCAATGTCGTTTTCAGGGGCGTGCGCAGCACCCTGGGGGACCGGGTCATCGTCGACTTCCATATCTTCATCTCTACGAGCAGCCTCTTTTCTCGCCATCACTTTCATCGCGATACCCGAATCCCTGGATCCAAAACAGCCTACCCTCTTGAGAACACTAGTAGATTTGCCATACTCGAGAAGGGCTCCAATGTTGATGATGGCCATCATGATCCATTCCCGTTCTTCAGCACCTTCAATGTGGAGTCGCTCCATGAATCGAGAGAGCGTTGGTTGGAAATCGTCAAGCTGAATGTTGGTAAACAGCATGCCGTGAAGGAGTACGAAAAGATCAGGAACACGAGCGTCAGGCAGTTGACGACGCGCTTGCGCGGTGGAGGACCAGATCGGAAGGATTTTCTCGCGAGCTGTAGGGAACGGGTGAAGAGTTGTCATGCTGTAGGAAAAATCCATTGATCACTTGACAAATGAAAAATTAAGTTGGAGAACTACCTTTTGACAAAATGATAAATGCCTCTGAGGACCTCGCCGTCTGCTTCTCGACTAAGTAGCCCAAGATGGTGATGAAGCTTGCCTGTTCCAGGTTGATCTGCAATTCCAGTTGCATACCAGCCACGAGCAATCGACCTCCAACGCTCTTTTTCAGGTTCCACCTCAAGAGCCCTCGCAGCCGCAAGACCAACACTAGGTGAAGGAGAATCGTCGATTCTGGCAGCGACTGCATCATTGCTAGACTTGGAATCTTCGACCGCGACAGGTACTGTTAATTTGTCGCCGGAGTCCCCAGATGTAGCCTGGGAAACGTTTGCAGCAGTAAGGGCGGATCCACTTCCAGCACCTCCCGTGACCATGGCAGCCACTGCCATCATATACCTTGCCAAATCGCCGAGTGCTTCCAACCAGCTGCTTCTGAAGGCCTTAAGAGGCGGTTCCTCCAGCAAACCTGTGTAAAAGGTGTAGGCATAATAAATGAAATCCTGCAGATGTTCAAGTGCCAGAGGTGAAGTTAACGAGGCTTGTCTGAGAGACTCCAATAGTTTTTGGAAACCAAAGAGCCATAAACGACCGATGATGTTGTATTTCGTGGGGATGTTGCGGAGGGACGACGGAACAGAAGGGGCGAGAGATATTTCCAGCATGTTATGAATAGCGTCGACCAATCTATGATTAAAGACTTCCGTGTGAGAGGTGAAGTAGTTGACTGGAGAAAACCCACTTTTTGTGATCGTTGATCTGCTTGAGCCACCTATCTTTCTCTATTTCTTCATCTTCAGGCGTGTTCTTACCCTTGATAATCATTCTTCCACTCTCTCTTCCATCATCGTCATTATCAGTCTCTTGATTTATTTTGGCTTCAAGATTGGTGATGTTACGATAAAGTTTCTTGAGCTGCTGCGCAAACACATTTCCGGGTGCCTCATCAGAAGGTTTGCCATTTTCAAACAAAGCAGATGATGCAGAAGAGCCATCCGTAGTGGAAGACAGGGTAAAGGAAGAGGAAGCTTGTGAAGCAGCGTAAGAAGAGGTGGAGGAGGCGGAAATGTATTCGCCGGAAGACTTCGGGGTTGGGGTTGGCCGGTGTCCTGCCTGTGGACGAGCCAGAACGGCAAATCTGACTGGGTCGTCCTTTCGTGGGTCGAAGAGCTGGCGCGATGCTGGATTTCTGTCGCGCGAGATGGCGTTAGCATTGCGATGAGGCGGGGAGTCGGACATAGATTCAGGCTCAGCAGTACGACGCATAGTGGGGATTGGATCGCGCTCGGGATTGTATAGTTTAGAAGGCTGATTCTGCCTAGAAGGGGACTGAGCAGGACGCGGAGTTGGAGAAGATATGTTCAGACGCCGCGAGAAATCATCGGGATCCGCTTCGGGTGGTCGGGATATAACTACCTGTGGGGACGAAAGGGTTGGACGCTCGGGTTTTTCCCTTTCCTTTGGCCTTGGTTGACTAAAAAGAAGACGAGGTGAGAGAGGAACCGTCGAACAGACGACGAAGGCGTACGCAGCAGTGCGTCTCCTGAGCGCAATGAGACGCTCATCAATATCGGTGGGCTGGGGCGAGGCCTCGTCGCGAGGCTTTGGGCGTTTCGAGCGAGGATTGTCTGGGGGCTGCACATTGGGAACGTGCATATTTTGAGGATATGGGAGGAAAGCAAGAGGGATTTGCTAGCCCGCAGCACTTTGATTCTGCTTGAGAGGACTGCGCATCGCTTACATCATCACAGCCACATGTGTACAGTAAGTATATAGCATCCCATTTTCATTATAAAAACTGATAAGGTGTCTACCAATAATCACAGAACAGACCAGTCGATTCCTCATCCACCGTTCGTTTGTCCTTGCCACAGTCCGTAAGACTTGCCCGGCGTCGTCTGCCACAACCGGATCGTACCTGCAAAACCCCAGAGTCAGTGGGGATGTCTTTCCATACTGGGATACACTTACCGTCCTCTGTATCCGGTCGCGTCTGGTTGTCAACATGCTGAGATATCAGAAACAATGTTCAGCACTCACCACTTCCACTGGCATACATTTCGCCGTCAGGACTGAACTCCACACAGTGCACAGGCCCATGATGTCCCTTTAGCACCTCCCTTTCTTCCCCATCCATTCCGTGAACACGTACCCACTCGTCCCCTTGGTTTCCGGTCACAAATCGATCTTGCAGAATGGGGTGAACAGACGCGGATGAAGGTGAATAGGGCAAAGTCAGTGTATGTGATGGGGCAGCGGTGTTGGTCGGTAAGGCATGAATAAAGGCCACCGTGTTTCCTGTCGTCACCACCAGTCTGTCCGTCTGAGGCGAAAGCTCCATAGAAGTAATAGCCTTCGGAAATGTCATGCTTGTCGTCAATTTCATTGTCCGTAGATCCCACCATCTATACATCCTTGGATTGAGAACGATCCCTCGAGCCAGTAAGGAAAGAAAGAAAAGCGC